AAGGCAGTCAAGGGAGACATATTTTTTGATGTATTTTTTTCTCTGGATTGGATGAGACGGAAAGACGATTGGACTAATAGTTTAGAAACAATATGAAGTTTAAATAAAAAAAGTACACATTTGTACTTGCACCTATGTGCGAATCTGAAATTGCTACCTAAGCAAGTATTGCATTGTTTCATATGCATTTAATTTACGCTGAATCAAGTAAGAATATACACAAGTCAATAAAACAAATAGTTCAAAAGTTTCAGGCTCTTTTATGTATAATAAATACTGTATTTTACACTTTTACACTGTTATTCAAGAACTATCTAAACAAGTGATTTATATTTTCCAATGTTTTTATTTCCAATGAGCATCACAATCGGTCTTGCCGATGAGCAGACCTAGTGCGTTCTCCAGAGGTGGTAACCACTCTTTCTGGACCACCACAATGGGTGAGATACCGTTGGTCATGTTGATTTGGACGTCTAGTTTCTACCACACTAGATGGCAGTACCGAGACTCTATTTTGGATGCTAAAGTGATATTTTCGAATGTTGTTTCTTATGCTTAAGCGAATGAGACAATATAATTAATATTAAAGAAGTTATAAAGACAATTTTGCTTTGCAATATAAAGTACAATTTCGTTTTGATTTGGACGTCTAGTTTCTGCCACACTAGATGGCAGTACCGAGACTCTATTTTGGATGCTAAAGTGATATTTTCGAATGTTGTTTCTTATGCTTAAGCGAATGAGACAATATAATTAATAGTTAAGAAGTTATAAATACAATTTTGCTCCTGCAAAATAAAATACAATTTTGCACTTGCACTTACCTTAACCAATCTAATTTCCTTAATAAACATAAAGGTATTGTTTTTCATGCATTTTTTGTCGTTTATTTGAATGATACCAAACGAAAAACATTTCTAAAGTTATTTTTTTGTTGTTGTATAAAAAGTAATATTTTTGCATTGCCCTTATTATGAAAAAAAAATTTAACTTCAAAATATTTATTTTATCAAATCGAATTTGATTTCATTCAACTCAGAATGAAAAAAAAATTCAGCGGAAAGTGCATTTCACAAGTTCAGATAGTCCCTAGTAATTCCTAGATAGTTCAAAGAAAAAATGTACTAAAGTAACAGTTATTTTGTACATAAAAACGCTTGCGCCATTTGAACTCTTCATTCTATTGAGTTGTGTATCTCATTTGATTAAACGTAAAAGAAAAACATCGGAAATTTGTTTTCACTTTCTTAGATAGTAATATTAGATACCTAAATGTGTATAAATAGAAATGTGTACTTTTTGTTTGATCGTCTCGGGATTAGACTCAATTAATTCGATATGAAAAAATACATCGGGTACAGTGCCTCACTTACCTTTTTAGGAAAAAAATCCGTCCCCCCTCCCTCAAATCTTCCTCGTTTCCGAAAAATAGGGAAGTGTACAGAGGAAAATAGAGAAGATTTCAGACATCATTTATAACAACATAGCAAAGCATTTTGTAGAAAAATACGTTGAGCATTAATTTTTGCGAAGAAACACCCCTTTTTCATAATAATTACTAGACTATAGTAATTATTGTAAAATTACGGCATTGGTAAATTGGTTATCAATTTTCGATAAAAATCCCTTTATTTCACCAAAATAGTCTAGGATAGCTGTGGCAACAAAAATACAAATTATATGTTTTCTCTGTATTTCATTTTAATACATACATGAAAAAAATATTTCAAATCATATTCTGAGATAAGAAAATAAATTATACAGCAAATAAGAAAATTAGTGTAAAGAAAATTGCGAAGCCATACGTTTGAAATTGTTGAATATACTTATTTCTAATTACAAGACTTCTTCAATTTAATTTGGAGGGGAATGAAGTGCGAGGGATATTTCTTGTTCTTTTGCGGAGTGAACTAATCTAGTAAAAATGCAATGCAATTAGAATTTTCAAAATTCATTCATTATTATTACTATTTTCCGATGCTCCTCCTACACTGTTAGAAATTTCTCAGAAGAAGTGGTTAAATAACAATGGTTATTTTATCATATTCAATCAAAGTAGTCAAATAACCGTAAAAAAATGGTAATCAAACTGTTAAGTTTGAGATAAACTGCTTATTAACTGCTTTCACTTAATACGGTTAAGCAACCGGAATCTTATCGCACAAACTAGAACCACCTAATGAAGATACTTAGTTTTTTGCACCTGCGTGCATATCATAACCGAGCTGGCTTATTTGTCAATCTCGGGACCGGCAGAACTGGAGTTCGAGTCCTAGTATTGAAACCACAATATTTCCTCCATTCTCTTCAACACATGAAGAATTTCCAGTGTCCGGCACTCTCCAATGCCCATTACCTTACGAAAAGCCGAGCTCCTATGTCTAGTTAAATAGTTAATTTTTTTTATGTATTTGAAAAATGCTAGTTGCAAAAGGTTAAAAAATCGTATAGTTTTATATTCATGGTTTTATAACCATACTTTTTGTAAATGGTTTCAAAACCATAAAGGAAAAAAAAAATTATCTTTACCATAAACTTTAAGGTTACTCAGGTGGACAGACAGTTGACAGTTATTTCAGAATAAAAATTTTAACAATGTAACAAGATCGTAACTAATTGTTAATAAGTTTCAAAAATGTTAACAGATGGAATAAGAAAAATTAAAATATCAAATAATCGTTTTGATAATGTCTAACAAACCTTTTTTTATAGTTAAAATTACTCAGTTCAAATGATGCGAGAAAACATTACGCTTTAACGATTGATAGTAATTGAACTGATGCTTATCGTCGTGTGTTCCAGACTATGACTACATTTTCGCCTAGCAATGGGTTTACAGTTTGACAAACTCTTCTTACAAGCTATTCATTCTGCGTTCATATGTGAGACAGAACATTCAAAATAGTTTAAATAACGCGCTATAACCCGTATACAGAATTTTCGCACATATTCTAATTCCAGAACACTAACAATTCATTTTATGCCATTTCAGAATCCAAACAATTCTAATAAGGTTCAAATTGTGATTTATAGAGTGAATGGCACCTTCTAGATAGTTGGCGCAATAATAAAACGGGAAAGATTATTCACACGAATGCATTCTTCAGTTTTGCATGTTCCACCAAAATTACGAATTTAATTTAGCCATTAAAGAATTTACAATGCAGCAATAACTTTTAAGTTATTTGGCGAATAATTCGTGAATTAAAAGCTTCATATGCATTTAAAGTTTGTTAGAAAATAATGTTTGCTTGTTTAATGATCACCAGAGATAGATTCTATTAAATAAATGAATATGAAATAAGTTCAAATTTTATTTTTGTACGAAATTTAATTTCCTTTTAGGTTTGCTCTGAAACAGTCAATTGCATACCCAGTATATATTAGCTTTGATATGGACATTGATTGGCTTTGGATAAATAATTTTTTTAGTGAATTCAATTTGATTATTTTTTTAATCATTTCTTACTCAAATTCACCGTATATCTGTACTGTATACAAAGTTTTTTATAAGACAACCTTATAATGTATACTTTAAGAATTTTTATCAAAAATAAATAATAAAAAATGAGTCAAATATACATAAATGTCATATATAGTACAATAGAGAGAAATGAGCCAAAGGCTCTATTGAAATAAGTTGAATCTCTAGTGAAGAAGTAGGGAAGAATAACATACTAACATTCAATCAATTTGATTGTCTGATTTGATAAAGATTACAAAAGTGTAGAAGTGTTTAAGCTGTAAAAGTTGCCTGTAAAAGTGTTTAAGCTTAGTTATGTTTCTACCGTCATGAACATTTTTGCTGTTTTTCTCATAAATAATAATTTGGGAGGCAGCTCCTTAGTAAACAAATGGAAGAAGATAAAAAAAAATTTCTTTATAATATGCATGTACGTATATATATGTACACAAACTTCCAGGATATATCGAGCACATCATAAGAATTAAAAATTACATTACGAACTAAGCCGGTAACGAAATTGTACGCCGCCAGGAGCGCTCTCTTCATTACGAAGTGTTAATTCGTGTGATCTTGAACAGGTACTTTTATTTATCTAAACTATCTAAATTTTAGATTTTCATTTATTTTTAGTTTATGATACCTTCAGTTGTTAGAAGCTCATTTTCTAATTTTTCTAATTTTTTTATAAGTCGTCGCTCGCGTTTTTTTTACAACATAATTGTGAAAAAAACTTTAAGTAGTTTATTTAAGAAAAGATTTAATGAATAATCTCCGAATTCCGAAAAATTCTTTACTTGTGAACTGCTTTGAATAAAATTTTTGAAACTTCGGCTTCTCATAATGACAGCGGTAATATTAAAAAGAGCTTTCTAACTTGGCTTCATTTGCTAGAAATCTGAATTTATATAGTCCTATATCTAAATTTTTGCTAGAAATAATAACTTAATTTTATTTAGTTCAGTTTTAATTTTGCGGCAAATTGCTTTTCTCTTATTTCAAATATTTCCATCTCTGTTTACTGCACTTAGAGTAAAAAATAATAGAAAAACATGCATATCTTTTAAAATTTATGGAAGAATTCCAAATGCGCCTAAACGCTTGTAATGCACTGCATTAAACTGCATAGGGTCATCTGCCTCATTTCCTTTTGTAAGGTGATTAGTTCGAAATTTGTAGCTGTTTCATCGTACTTCTTAGCCTTACCCTTCTCTACCCATTGCTTTTCCATACTAATTAATTTCCGAATATTCAATGAAATCACACAAAACTTCAATTCATAAATAGATTATGATTGCTTGAATTTTGATTCTAGCTTTCATTGAACATTGAAGGAAATCAGATTGTTTTGACACATTTAAGATGTGCTTGTGATCACATAATTTTTAGAATCAAAAATTTACATATTAGAAGGCATTTTCTAAATTTCTCTACAATTTAAAGTAACTAAAATATACTTAATTCCACCATTACTTTATTGCCCTTCCTCAGTTTTACAATATTTATCGACCTCAATAGTGAAGATCAGCGTAGTTCCTTATGCATATGGCGTGATTACTTGACAATTGTCCAATACTGTATTACTAGGAACATCAATTTTTTCACCTGGGTTTGCTTGTATGAGAACATTTCCTTTAAGCACAATGTTCTTACCGAAAACTATGTCTCCCGACACCGTCAAACTTAAGAGGTTCAAACAATCTGGCATTTCTGGAAATCTTTCCTTGATTTGCGAATATGAAGTAAAATGTTTGCCAACCAGTTCAATTAGAGGTGGATATGATATGCGTCTTAAGGGATTCAACAAAAGAGTGCCATTCTTTAAAACGTAAACGTTGCTTTTGATCAGGAAGAAATCAGATGTTGTTTTAACTGGTAAAAAGCGGCTTCGTGGCACGACTACTCCAATAGAACATTCGAATAGATTTATAGCTGAACCCATCGCCGTTTCCAACTGAATTATGTCTTCAGGTTCTCCATTTACTTTTAATATTTTGTGGTTGACAATAACATCCATTGAAAGGTAACGCCTTTCCACTACTAGCTTCAAAATAGAATCTAATCTAATCCACATGTTATTAGTGTTGAATACATTAAAATGTTCCCCTCTCTGAAAGACCTCCATATGTTCTGAAGGAACCTGAGCCACTTCCACAAGATGGAGTTTATTACCTATTTTTACAACAGCGCCACCTTTTCTATCGGCTATAGTTTTTGGAGTCACTTCCACCAAGCAATCTATTGTTTGATTTTGATTTGAAAGCATCATCTCTTTTAGAAGAGGAAAATTCACTGAAGCTCCAAGATTATCTGCATTTGAGACCATACAAATCTCTTTACCTTCTTTTATGAAAGCTTGCAATAATCCGGAATGGTAAAATGACTTATAAAAATCACCATGTCCAGGAGGATACCAGGCATGTTTTTTCTCGTCATTATATGCCTCTGTAACAAGTTTATAATTAAGAGCGTGTATTCTTGGGTATTGAGATTGATTGAAATTAAATATCTTGATTCTAAAATTTCTGTACTTTTCTAGTGCAATTAGTGTGTCTTCATGTGTGTTAAATGAATTCATGAACACCAATGGAACGTCTACATCGTACTCGTTGTTCAATTTTATAATTTGTTGAACGATTAAATCTAAAAACGTACATTCATTTCTGACGAAAAGGAGGCTCTTAGCTCCAACGCAATTCATGCTTGTACCTAATCCTCCATTGAGCTTTATTATCACTAGTTTATTCAAAAAGGATTTTATTTGATCATTTTCCGGTAATGGTAATTTTTCATAATCGATAAATGAATCATTAGAATTTAATTGCAATCTTTCCCATTGAAATTCGGAACTTCGTTTGGTCAGAAATCTGTCAAATAAATCTAGAAATCCATTAAACTCTTTCCAGTACTGATCACTTTCACTTCTTGGACAATTTTTCATTAGATTTTCGATATCATTTCGCATCTTCATTTTAAAATCAAATTGAAATTCAACCATTATTGAAATTTTACCTTAAAACTATCTCAGTAAAACCTTCAAATATGTAATACATAATAATTACAGTTTTTCATATTCTTGACGATTTTCCTGTTTCAAAATTAGTCTAAAAATAGAAACATAAATCAAAAATAAAATATCAGAATATATTTAAATTTGTTAAAAAAAGAAGTTTGATGAAAAAAATATAAAATTCGTTCCCAGTAAAATAATGAACAAAATAAAATGCAGAAATTTAAAGGCACTTGTCAATATAAATCACATATTTTGAATAGTAGCATTTTTGCATCAAACTGCTCTTCAAAATAGTTTCAACATAGATTCAATACAAATTACCGGATTTTTCACCAGATGATAGTTGGGTACGCAGAAATCATATTGCTCATATAAACTTGTATTTTCACCACAATACTTTTAAAAAGGAAAAATACTCCCTCAATTAAATGACTTATTATTATACTCTTTCAGCCTCAATGTTAAAAGTTAAATTAGTATAATTTTGTTAACTGTTATCTTTTAAAATTTTTTTAACCATTTAGTGCCAGACTAAATCGAGAATTGTCCTCAAATGAAATGTATCCCCGCGTAATATGATAAAGTATTAAAAATGTATACTGTATTTTTTATAATAGATATGGTAAAACTTGTCAGTATATATAGCGATAGAAGATAAACTGCAAAAATCAATTAAATGATTCGTTTATAAAATTTTCAAATTACTGGCTAGTTTTTGGCGAGAAATGTTTTGATTTCCCACATCTTTAAATTGAATTTAGTTCCATACAATATTACGAATATCTGAAGAAAAAGAAAACTTAGACCATAGCTCATAATAATCAATTTTCTTTCATAAAAACACACAATTCATGACATCGCGTATCGCAGCGAAATATATTCTCACTGTAAAAGAAATATCACATGAAAATAATTTAAAATCAAAAATTCTAACTCAAACGCAGCAGCTATTGCAAATGCGAATTTTCTTCTAATTAACTGTAGTTTTCAATTAGTTTTGAAGTTAGTTCAGAATCGCTAAAAACCCATATTAAACAAAGCGCTATGCATTAAGCTAATAAGAGCAACTGGCTATTATATTCCTTAAACAAATTAAAACCAAAATAAAAAAATAATGCAATTTTAACTTAGCAAAGCCCTATTTTATTCTCAAGAAAAATATTTTTTATCTTTCTTTCAATCTTTAAATTTTAGTAGTTGTTTTTTTCCCGTTTTCTTTCCTTTTCGTGATCGTGTATTGAATGAACTAGTTAATCTTAGTGTTCTGATGTCAAAATTAGCTTACTTGCGGATATTATGGCTCAAAATTGAAGAGATTTTTTAGAGTGTAGAACTTTGCGGAAAGGATTAACCTGTACGTAAATACGACTCAACGTAGAGCCCCTGAATTAGATAGTATAGGAGCCTTAGCTCAACGCAATACGTTTCTCAAGTTTTGACTAATTTGAACTAAACTATAGCTCATAAATTTTCTGGAGCCGCCATAACAATTTTTCTTACTTTGTGTTGATACGAGAATCGATGTCATTGAAGAACTCATACTTGTAATAATATTGGTTGGAATTTATTTCCAATGCTAATTACCAATTACGTATGTTAACTGCCTTAGAAGCATATTTTCTATGCTTTTACTTTAAGCTTTATAGTTCTGTTATAACCACTGGACAGTATGCCTATGATTTCAAAGGAATAAAATACTGTTATACTGTGATAATCATGTTCTTGTTAGCACTAGAACGGTCGGATTTTCAATTTACCTAAAGCCGCCATTTGAAGGTCAATTTGATCCTCATAAGAAATTGAAGTTTTTTCAAAGCAAATTATTTTTTTAAATAATGAATATTGTTAAAAAAAACAATATGTAAGATTTTTTATACATTAAAAAAATTATTTATGCAAGGACAATATTACATTATAATGTAATATTGTATTGCAGAATATTCTTTCGCATGAGTGCAAATAATAAGCAAATAAACAAAATAAACAAACGACATGTATAAAACGTGTATACATTAGCACATAACATGCTTTAAAATGTTAAGCTCCATCACTCGTTAGGCGTTAGCGTAGGCGTATACAGTATATCCGTGTGACGTGAAAGTGACAACAAAACATCAACAAATTATTTTCTAGCATTTCTCATAGCTAGTATTAGCGGAACCGCGAAGTTATGTCTTTCTGGGGCATTTTGTATTTGTTATCAAGCTTTTATTTTTAATCAATAATGTATTCACCCTAGTTAGCAATAACGTTTCAAATCTGGATCGAAAAGGAATCGAAATGGATAAAAAAAATGAACTGGTTCTTAAGACTAACGATTATATAATGCTCCAAAGCGACATTACTTTCCGGTCCCCCTAATATTAGTTTCATTCTATGCCTTCCGATGTTAAAATTCATGTTAGTTTTCAATTTCATGACGATATAAAGATTTAATGTCATGACGAAAATGTGACGTTGAAATTAGGAAGAAATTTTCCTTTTTTCAAACTTAGTATCGCTGTCTGCAATGTTAGGTTTTAATTTACGAAAGAAATAATTCTGCAGGTTTTACTGAGGCAAAACATTGCAATTCCGTTTATCCTGGAGTTTAGGAGTGGTTCCCTAATGAAATTTTTTTAATAACTTATGAAATATTCAAGTTATTTATCTGTTCTAAAGCCCAGATAATTCTTTACGGCTAGATTATATCCATAGCTTAAAATCACTACATTGCTTCGAGTGTAAGGCACTTTAACTATGTTTTTTTTAATTTTCTTTGGCGGCAGGGCTAAGAAAAACAGCGTTAAGTAACCGTTAATAACTTGTGTTAAAAAAGTGTGTTGGAAAACGTTATCGATAAAATTATACTCAATTGAATAGTTTTAGAAATTCCTTTTTAATGCTATTTAAAATGTTCAGATAATATCATCGTTTTACTATGTGGTCCAACTATTCAATGGTAAATGTAAAAAGAAACAATTATTATGTTTCGCTTACTAGTCTTGTGTTATTTCTGGCATTAACATTACAGAATAATTTTCTGAAATTATCTGAGCATCACATCATAAGTAAAATATATTTTGGTAACCTTGTATCAATTGAGATTGAATTGTTTCATCGTGTATTTATTTTTTTACAAAAAAAAAGATTAGAAAAAAATTACTTAAATTTAATCATATGAAACACTAGTAAAATTAAGGATTTTATGTTCAGTAAAAGCTCCAAGGCGCAGTGCCCAAGCTAAGGAGAAACCAATTCTGTACTGTAAAAAATTAACTATTAAATTACGAAATAAAGTATCGGCACTTGGATGAATTATCCATAAAATCCATTTTAGGAGTAAAATGTTATACAGAATTTTTACAGTAATATATGTTTAATTTAAGTGTATGAGTGATTTTACGATAATTATCACTGTAAAAATACGGCTTATCAGAGTTTTGTTTCATAACAACTTTCCGTTAAAACAAATTTTAAGGTAAAAAGTATTGTTACTTCTTATCGTAATTTATTTCGGAATTTTTTTACTGTTTGCACTCTAACAAATCATTTGTAATTACGTATTAAAGTAATTTCCAACTATGCTTTACTTATTTAGCCAATGGGATTATATATGATTTATTTTTCTTCACATTACTTTGATTGATTTTTATTGCCCATGCATGTTATGAATGTTCTAGCAAGAATTTAAACAGCAAATGTATTAAGTTAGATTCATAAGAAATTCTTAAAAGCCAAAATTTTGATAAATTGAAATTGCAAAAACATGCTTCACGAACAGTTTTCAAAGCGTCAAAGCATTTTCATAAATTATAAAAGCCGATTTAACTAAGAGAAAAATAACTTATGGAACAAGGTCTAACTAATTTAACTAGCAAATATTTATATTTAACTATAAATCTATCTTTATAAGGTTAAAGGAACATTAGAAACGATAATTCGAAAATTAATAAAGAACTACTTACCAATGTTTAAAAATAAAAATTAAAAACTCAAATAAAAAAAATATTTAAAATAATACCCAATAAACTACATCAAAAAATTTGAATTAAATGAATCGAATTAAAATAGACTATTTGTATTAAGTGCGATTTTAATTTTCATGTAATGCGAACCAAGATTGAACTTGCTCATGACTTATTATGTGTATTTATTAGTTGCAAATATTATTTTTTAATAAAACTAAATTTTTATAGGTTAGCATCATTGTAAAACCAAAAATGATTTTCAAAATAAAAAATGTGCTTCAGAATTATAGTAATTGCGATAATTCTAAGTTCTGTAATTTAATTTTTATTATTTTTTTAAAGCAGTATATATCTCAAAACGAACACAGACATTGCATGTTTTCTCAATCAAATAAGCATTCTTAAGAATTACAAAAGCTGCTATCATACGATAAATTCAAAACCTTTAAAAGTCAAGAATCTGAAATTAATTCAAGGGAAGAAATATTTTCTTGGTTTTAAAGAAAATAAATAAAATAAGACGCTTCGTATCCATAAAAACAGCTCGATTTGTGTATTAGATAAACAATGATATAAAAGAATGTTAATAATTTGCATTTCATCCAAGAGATATTACAAATCAAAACATTTCAAAAATGTTATTTCTAAACGTACATGTCTTATCAGATTTTCTGATTTTTAAAGACAGCGGAATACGGATAAAAACATAGCGCTTCGAAAATTAAAAATAATAACTTAATTTTAAAATTCAATGAATTATTCATATGTCTTAAAGTAGCTCAGTAATAAACACATTATAAAATTTAAAAAATACAGCTTTCATCATCTTTGTTATTTAAAACAGCTTCATCTATATTCTTACATGCACAGAATATTGATTTCATCGCATTTGTTATTGTTACGACACAAGAATAATTACACCACTCCTACAGTTGCGTGCGTTCACAAACTAATTTGTTTTATTTCATTACCTTTAAAACGAACTGCAGATTTATCTCCATC